ACTAATACTAATACTAAATTTTTACACTGACAATAAAATGTAACTGTATATAAAATTAAAATTATTGAATTTTCACACGTATAAGATCACTTAGGTGGACTGTAACAATGAGTCAATGAAACACGACACTGCATTGTTACTTTCTTTTTTCTTTCAAATTAGTTAAATTCATGTTGAAATTGATAAAACAAATAATGAAAATCCGATTATTTGTTCCATTGTCACAAAGTGATTTTTGTGTAGTAGTAGTAGTAGTTCTCCCCCTAAAAATGGTTTTATATATCCCAGAGTTTTGGTCTCTGCCAAGGACGTCCACGTGGTGAAAGTGATTTTACAAAGAGAAGTTGAAAAGCGAACGTCTAGGGCTTAAACTCCGCTTTTAAATATGGATAGTTCACCTGAGGGAGCTAGAGAACCATTATTCCAAGCTGACGGAGTACATAGGATCTAGATATGAAGAATAGTATACGGATCTATTTAGACCACTGGCTACTATGGTAGTGCATCTTATGAACTTGCTTAATCGCCTTGTGTATCATGATCTTGTTTCAGAGCTTATAAGATTAGTTCCAAAAGAAACCACCCACTTCAATCTGGGCCTTAAGATATTATCTTGGAGCCCGCACATAGAAGTTTACCACGTCGTCATTAAAAGAATAAATACGAAGTATGGTAAGGTAACTGTATACACAACCAAAAAATAGTTGCTTTCTTACGAGCACTACTTGTTATTAGTAAGTAGTATGATATTTATTTATACAAAACGGTCGAACTGTGGACTATGTTCATCTACTTTAACAACAGCTTCACGAAGGAGACTAAAATAGCAAGTTAAAAAGAGAAACCCATCGTTACAATTTTCTGTTTCTCTATAAAAATAGTTTGTCAAAGCATTTTGGAAAAAGAGTATGTTGCTTAAGTAGATAAACAGCATAATTAATTAGGGGACAATCAATAAACGACATTTTCGATTTAGCAAGAATTACTTAGCATTACTTTAAAAATTTGTCAAAACTTCGAGAAAGAAATCGTAAAGTAATTACCTGTTGTTCTACTGCCGTGCATGTTCTTGGGCCGAGTTTCTGTTTTAATGTTAGTGTATAGGTAATAGTTCTTTCAATTTTACTAGAAGTTTCTAACTGATTTAAACATTCTGAGGGACTAGACCACTTGAATATTGGCCATGGAGATTGAATCATTCCAAATGTACCACGATGTTCACTGAATCGCGAGAAGAATTCCGAATCCGTGAAAATACATTGAAATAAGGCGTTGACATTCAATGGAATGTCAGTGTTTGTATACACTCTACCTGGGTGATCGTGACCTGGACCACATGTGATAGGAGGTTCCACAGAACTTACTACAGATGTATCTGGAAGTGACGGGTCCTGAGTACTCAAGTAATTAAGTTGAATTAGTTTTGAACTAGATACTTCATCATGATGGTGAGATCCGAGACGCTTTTTTCGCGTACGTTTCTTTTCTCTTTTACAGATTTATGAGGCACTTGAAAGCTATCTGACATAACTTCATTAGGTGTAGTTCCTGATGTTAAATGACATTTAACTTCAGGGGTCGGACAACGTTTGATAGTGTTTAGTTGTTGAGACTGTGGTTCATCCTCAATTGTACTGAAGTGACTCGGATCTGAAAAGGATGGAACACGTTTAAAAGGAATATCAGCATCGGATACAACTTTTAATTCATCATCCGTAGTTCCTAGTACGGAACATTTAGAAGAGCGATCGAGATTAACTGGTTGATCCGAATGGCACACATCTTCAAGTGAAGCCGACTTCGATCGACCAGTGAGTTGTGAAGACAGAGATGAATCGGATAAAGTTCGCGGCTGCTTGTGATGAATACAAAAAGAAAATTGGTATATACATACATATATATATATATATATATATATATATATATATATATATATATACGAAAAAAATTATATGGTGATCATGATTTGTAATGAACTAATACAAATGAGTAAAAAATCTAAGTTTGAAAATTAGTGATTTTCTAGTAGATTAAAAGTGGTTTTCGAAACAAGCAAATTCTACTTGTAACAAGTTTCACATGAAACTGTGTATTTTTAACTATAGTCGTTGTCATGCTATGGGTTTAATAAATCTTCACTTGTACCAGTTTTGGTGATCTTATTTCGCGTCATGGGAATTGCAAAGGTTCCTCGTTTTACAAGTATAAGTAGTAAGCGACTCCAACATAACAATTAGCAGCAACCAGTCATAACATAAACCTCATATTGATTGATAAGAATTTGATTAACAAACGAACAATTATCATTTCACTTTAGATAAATAGGGACTTTCAACAGTTTTTTTTTAATAAATTTTTTAGTTGATATCATTCTCTGATGATGAAAACAAAAACTATTCATAAACTATTTATGATTTTTAACATTAAACCATTTCATATTGAGCCCAGTGTAACCGGAAAATAATTATGAATAAACCTACTGATTTAATTAATATACAAAACAAATTGAAACAAAAAAAACATAACTCTAATTGAGAATAATAATAATAATAATAAGTTAACCATTTTCATAAAAACCCCATAATTCATGTGACTTTCGACTGATTTCAAATGAGTATTTTATACTCTTTTTTTTGTTTTATATGGTCAAATTACAAATGAATAAAACAATGATGGTTTAAACAAAACAAACACAGTGTGTAAACAATGTTTAAAGAATTTAAAAAAAAAAAGAAGAATTACTTAATACATTTTCAACATAGAGACAATGAACTAGATTTGTAAGAATACATAATAGAGTTGAATGAAACATCAAGAGAATTATTTGTAACTATATGTTTTAATATTGAAAAAACAAAACATGATAGTAAAGAATAATGAATTATGAAAGTTCATAACCGATTATGTCTCTGAATAAAATTATCACTGGTTTTCATAAGAATATAGTAGGCGAAGGTTTATTTGACAATTTAAAATTATTGCATTTAAATACTTTAAGAATATTGGAAATATTTTATTGATGACATAAATTAGTATAACCAGATGAATAAACACAGATTACCAATCTGTAAGTTAGATTTAGCCTTGTAAACAATTAATTTTCTTTTTAACGTGTAATCTACTGATGCTGATGAATTGTCCAGTACAATAAAATGTTATAACAGGTAACTAAAACTTCGTAGTGGGAAACGGTTACCTTATAAATGGATTATCAGAGTTGAGTCCTAAACGAGGCCCTTTTTGAGAAGTAATTTATGTCAGTGACCTAGTGAAGAAAAGTGAACTTGATTGTTAGATAGTTTGATGTACAATCATAAAGTTATAAATTCAGGTCTGAATTCCACTTCATTACTGTTTGAGTAAGTGACTAGGATAATTAAAGGTTAAACAAATAGAATGGTTAGGTACAATATTTATTTAAACACAAACACTGGTACAAGGAGGCACCAAATATATGCGATATACACATCATTCGATTTATGTGAGGGTTGGAATACTGCCCGCGCGCTCAAAACGAAACAGGCGGTTTTCTTAGGCAGCCGCTCCTCGAGCCTTTGACCTAGAGGTCTGATCCACAAGGCAGTGGAGCAACGTTAAGAGATGCAGTGCCATGGTAGCTGGTGACCAACAATAGGTTCATACACCAATTGTCCTATTTGGATCGTGGAGCTCATGTACACCACAGGTTTGAAACCACAGTTTTACAACTCACCCAGGTAGATGAATCAGTAAACGCTCAGCTTCTAGATCAACAGGTCGGATTCTGTAACGATTGGTCGTGAAAAGACCGAATCGTGACACTATGGATCATCGTTGAACGACCAGTTGAGTGGAATTCGTCACTATACCTCAACTTCTTTGACTACGAGAAAGCACTTGACAATGTGGATAGGAGAACATTATGGAACCTTCTTCAACACTATGGTGTACCTGCGAAGATCGTCAACACCACAAGGAATTCATACGACGGATTACACTGCAAAGTCGTGCATAGAGGACAGCTAACAGATATGTTCCAAGTGAGGATCGAAGTCAGACAAGACTGCTTACTGTAGCCCTTACTCTTCTGGTAGTTGACTGAATTATGAATAATATACAGTTACTTCTTACACTTGTCTCCAGTTTTACTGATTTTTCATCAGATACCTCACAGTCTGAACATCTTGAAGGTGAATACATAGAAACTATTTTATTTCATACAACTTATGTGTTCTTATCTAGGTTTATAATAACAACGCTTTATGCTAAGTTTCTTCAAATATACGTGTTTAACGTAAAAATCATGCACAAATGTAACAGTTAGTATTTAAAAAATACTCTTCCACTGTCTGAAAGAGTTACTAGTTAGTGAAGATTGTGTACAATCATTCCAGTTAAGCTAGAAAACAGATTTCACAACAGATTGTTACAGCTGAGAAATTTCCAAAATATGTTTTACCTAATTCAACACCCTAAAGCAAAGATACTCACAAAGTTATATAGGAGAATTCATCATTGGATCCCAAATTATTAACTAAATAATATCGTTTCCATCAGGCAATCTGAAAGCTTTATTTTCAATCTTATGTACATATGCTATTGAGCTAATTCAAATTAAGGCATAGTGATTATTCAGTAAGCAAGATATTTACCATTGTTCAATCAGAATCAGTGCAGTGATTGGAACATTTTAAACAACAAATTCATGCTAATCCAATACGACATGATGTATGAAACATTATTAATCTTCTTTTAGTTATCTTTAGAACTGCAAACTTTCCATTGATTTATTTCATGACAAGTCAAATTGTTATCACATTAGTTATAAAACTGTATTCTGCTGATAGTATACACTACTAGTACATATCAGATTAATTTGTATTCTGCACATTAAACAATTTAAATTCCATTATTATTATGTTTAACATCAATTACTCGGTGAATTGTGTTTGTTGAGAAGAATATTTAAACCGTCTATCATCATTTCACAACAAGGAAAATAAGCTACAATGTTAAAACACTGTGATTTAAATGGCTACATTAACAAATAAATCGATAAAGTTCGATTAACACTAAGAAACCGATAACAATGATTATCGTTACACAACCTTATATATATGATCGATGAGAAGAATCACTGTTTGAGGTTATTTGTTAATTTTAAAAATAAAGAATATGGGTGCATAAATTTTAATCTGATATATTATCATCATATAGCGCATTTGTTTATGTTAACTATTCGAAAGACCATATATTAGATTAAGGCTAACATTGTTCGAAGTGACCTTATATCATATTGTGTAAGTAGACATATTGTTTAATAATTCACTTTAAAATTTCTTTATAATCTAAATAATTCGTTGTGTGTTATTCAAGTTAAGACATCCATCAATTTGTATGTTTTCAATGTTTATTTATATGAAATATTCAAAGTTTAAGCATTTAGTTGAAATACGCAATACATAAGCTGTTGAGAAATAAAATGGAAATCAAAACGGCAATCTAGATTATTTTGTACGTGTACGCAAATTTACGATTGCATGATTTAAATGAGACTGGACAAAATATCTAATTAGTTTAACACCAAAGCAACTATGATAAAAATAGGATGGCGGTCCAATATTAGCGGTGAGATTGACTGAGGTCTTAGGTAGAATCTGGGGACTTGATGTAATCCCATCTGACTGGTCTCAATCACTGATTGTGCCAGTCTATAAGAAAGGATAAAATTCCTCTTGTGACAATCGCAGAGGAATCAGTTTCACTAATATAGTGTCTAAAATATTAGCTTCAACCATACTTCGACGCCTAACTAAAGCTCGTGAAGAGCAGACTAGAGAAAATCAGGCTGGTTTTCGATCTGGACGTGGTTGTATAGACCAGATATTCACACTACATCAGGTCCTAGAACATAGACATACATTCAGATGTCCCACAATCGTAGTATTTCTCGGCCTTAAGGCTCTGTTGATCGCGAGATGATAGCGACCGATGGTTAGAGACGTTGAATAACATGGCTCAAAATCGTTTGCAATGGCGCATGTGGATCCACTCTTTGTGTTCTCCAAAATTCTAATCTTCTGAATTCTTCATGTCCCTTTTTTTCTCTTTCCAAATTTATTTCATTGGGTTATACTACTTGAATAACATCTTCAAACCCCAATCTTTCCTATTATTGTTTATACTTTTACTACGTCTACCACTGTGGGGTTTGGATCGACAACTGCATCTCTGTGTTAATGTGGTATGGCGACTCGAACTGATGTACGTACGTACGAAGTTCTACGTTGTTACTGACTGACTGATAAACTTAGTCTGCATTCATATTTAACACAGTAGCAGATAAGAAATATAATATAAACTGACGTGTGCTTAAATCTTCTCGTCAACTGATAATGAAGTTTTTAATGTAATGAAATAGTGAAGGTAGGTACTAAAAAACCCTAGTAAACTTTATTACTGTTAGTCTGTAAACGTTTTCATGTCAAAGAAAACAATGATTCGCAAATAAAATTGGGCATGTCACTAAATATGGCCACAACATTTAGCAAGTTAATCTGAATCATCAACTTGTTCGTAGAACATTTGAACTATGGATACTGCCATCAGTTATCTTAGAAAGTTTACATTACAAAAGCTAACGATTAAAGATCAGAGCGATTTTGATGAGATATCTAGGCACATGGAAAACTCTACATACTGACACAGATTTCCAATAATGGAGATTATATGTTTATGTTGTGATGTCTAGAAATTTATTCATCAGTGATTGTTTCATTATATATGCTAGACAGATGAAATTTATTATAGGTTCTGAAGCAGTAGCGCCTGACCTTGTCGATATCATTGCGACACTTAGTATAAGGGGTGGATTCGTATTGGTTTGGTCGGTCACAGATAAAACATTTATTTACATAATACAACTGTTAGTTTTACTTGTAAGAGACCGATTCAATAAAATTTAAGCTTTCTAAACAACCTTTAGCATTTAGTTAAGGTAAAAAAAAGTGTAAAGACAGATATGAAATAAGTAACACAGATCGAATGAAACAGATGATCTTCTGAGACTTGTTTAGATTACAGTACATTTGCATTTGAGATCTCAGAACTTCTATCCCCTCTGGAGTTTTGCATTTATGTTAGGTTTACAGTGATCTTTGGTGAAGAAAGTACACGACTGTCGAAGTCAATCTTTACCTGCACCACATTCTGCGACTCTATGTCACAAAACTGGACATTCTCAAGACAAGTTGACAATTATCAAAGGACAAGTCAAACCTAAAAATGTTATGAAACTAGTGATAGAGATTGTCTGATGCACTAAACAATGCCATGGTCATATAGCTAAACTTTAGTAGGCTTTTGCAAAATTAGGAAACAGTAATTGTTAACATTTCTTAAATCTCATATAAAGAATGTAACTAGAAATCGGAGAGCGTGGAAACTGTAGCTACCTACAGATTACTTAAAACATTATAAATAATATAAATCATCAAAAGCCTGGGAATTAAAGAACATTTCGAAGTACATCATCAAAACAGACTTGGGACACTAAGTGCAAAACTTATATGACCGTTTTAGATAGTTGTTTGGACCAAAAAATTCAAAGCCATAAGAACTTATAGATTTCAAACTATCACCAATCATAGAGTTATTCAGTGTGGGTAACCCATTTTGGATCATACGAAAGATAATTTGAACTACCATATAACCAACCCGACCATACCATTAAATAACAAAGAAGTGACTACATAAGTAGTATCAAAATAGTTACTTTTTCCAAGACAAAAACTTTGTATCCATTGGTATCCGACAAATTTATGTCGATAACAAATGAGGTATTCTTTGAGTTACAACAGAGAAAAACAAATATATAGATGGACACATACAAAGGAGAAACAGCTTTGTGGTGCACCCTGATTTTCAGCTGTTCCTTAGTTAGTACTGTTTCATGATATAAAACAACCAAAACTAATCTTGGCAAAACCTTATGTATGTATTTAGAACTAAATGACTTGGAGATTCATTTTCAAAGTTCTAGTCAGATATCAAAGATGATCAGCTTCAGATGTGTACGGAATGGGGTTGTTATATAACGATGGCATCAAATCTGACTATATCGAAGAGAAGAGAAGCTTAAAATGTAAACTATTGAGTTGTGACTCATTAGCTAAATGAAATATTTTCTTAGAGGTTTTAGGTACAATTTCTGACGTGATGATAAGTGTAAATTGCTACTGACAAGTTCCATACTGAGACAGAATACCTATCCATTGCTAATATTCCAGTTGGTATCAACTTTTGACAAAAACAAGTATAATAGAAAATGTGGAACAAATAGCAACAAGAATTAACTTACCATATGAGGAAAAGTAGTCGGCACTAATTCAGCATCACCATCTGTATCTTCTTCATCTTCAACCATAGCTAAACTATAATCACCATACATATCACGTATTTGTTGTAATATTTCATCAATACTCATTGTCTATATTTAACATATAACAATTGAAGATATGAAAAAAGACAAAATGAGAATATTTCTATACAAAATATGAATAATATAATTCACTTGAGTAATAGTACAACATCGATAAGATTTTGTTCCTTGTTGGAAAACTTTAACAAATCAATCTAGTTTAAAGAATTGTTTCGTGGTGCATGAGAATATTGTAGTAGTAAACAATCTGATCGTCACTCTCTTACGTTCTAACTTAATTGTACAGTTGTGCTTCCAATGAATTAAATTGACATATCAAGCACTTTGCAGGATTAGTTAAATTATCGTAAACATCCACTAAGAGTGACTAATAAATTTGTTTGAAAGTACTATATTTTTCCAAGTAAACATCATGGTTTCTATACAAAGTAATTTTAAAAGTTGAATTCTTCACAGAATATAACTAATCTGTGACTAACAATTATGTTAAACAACAGAAAAGTTGAGTTACGGTTAACGAAAAGAACTTAACCTTCGTTAATTCTATAACTTTTTCTACATGAATTGGAACGATACAAGAATCAAATTAGCTATGTACAAAATGAGATTAGGTAGTAATTATCCAAGATCGTAACCATCATAGAAACATATGAAACAATTAAACAAAACATTAAAAAACTGGCATGTATGTAAAGTTATTTTATAAGGCAACCTACTATTTTAATGAAAAGATAACTTAATTATTTACGTATTATGTGACAGATTGGCAATGGAATGAAGATGTTTTTTACATAAAATTGTCATTTATATTGTATGATGAGAACATAATTATACAAGTTCTTGATAGTGTTAGCCAACGAACAAAAATCTATAGTTCGCGATATTTCATACAAAGATAAATAAACACACACACACATGCATACAGATACGGAGATTGGAAAGTTAACTATTCTAATGATTATAAACATCAAGACCAACGTAGTCTGACATAAACAAAGCATTAGCTTAATTAACTCTGAAATCTACTGAATTATCATAAAAGTAATTTACACTAATTTTTAGAGAACAGAAAGAATTTAATGGTGAGATTAATTGAAACATTTTCTGAATGTTCATTAAATGTGATATACCAGGTACAACATTCACTTTTCTGTTCATTCTATTTGATGAGTAAGGTATATTAGAGTGTAATGTAAAATAAATATTTTATTGCAAGCAAATAAGATGTTCTATGAAAATGTTAATGTCTAGTGAGAAAGAAAAATACACTAATTCAAACCACAGTTTGAAATGAAATAATTAACGGATATTCCTCTCTAATAATCAGCCATTACTTACTAAGTAAAAGAAATAACGATCAAAGTGCTGAATACAATGAAGTGGAAAATGTTTTGAATAACCTGAACCGAATTTACAGCAAACAATTTTCTTACAACGAGCTAGAAAAAGCGAATCAAATTATTCTTTCATATGTATTGTTTTCAGTGAGTTGTTCACAAGCAAAATAACAAACGAAATAGACGATTAATTATCTTGATGGGAAAGAAATGATATTAAATAGACCTGTCAATCACCAAATTTCAACAGAAAGTTTGAAAAGTACAAAGTTTCTTCATAACTAATATACGCTTATTCATTTATCTATATAGTTTAGCCCTAGATAACACAATAATACAAGTTACTTAAAGCGCACAAAACTCTTTCTGATCAGATACAAAAAAGTAATCATAAACCAGTGTTCTTTTAAGAAACTGGCTTCAGCTGATTGCTCGAAAACTGTATCACATTATCATTCACTATAAAAAAGCTATGGGCAATATGTCCTTAAAAATAACACTCCAAGGGTTTGATGACACTACTAGTTTCATGTAAAAAAGAGATAACTAATTTTATTATTTGTTCAATAGACGAACCTGATTAATATTAAACCAAAGGTCAGAAATATCAGTAATGGTATTCAAATCTTGAGCTTATCACTCGATAAACTGATAATCCTTATCTCTATTGAGTCTAGAAAAAGTAATCTTTTTAGTACGTATACGTGATAATTAATTCTTTGTCTATATTTTCATTAATTAATCACAGGGTGGTAAGAAATGTCATATATCTCTAGTGTTTAGTGCTGACTGAATCCAAGTTACAACATAGCCACTAGTCCAAGTGATTAAAGGCGATTAGCAGGAAGCCAATTACACAGGTTTCAAGCTATTTGATGTACCTTACAAAGGATATACTTGCAGTCTAAACGGAATTATTGTTCCACATGGAATAGGGGCCTATATTATCCTGCTTTACAATCACATGCGATACTAGACAGCTATTCAGGTTACTTTGAATCTCAGGTCACATAACATTGCATCCTTTGTATGTTCTTTATTGTTAAGATTTTAATTGGAATATATGTCTTAAAAATGATTGAGACTAAAAAGATACGCTCAAAGCATTTATAAGATTTTTCTAAACAAAGGTAGCAAATAATTCATACTGGAATTAACACAATTCACTGTTTTTCACGATGAAGTTGCATAACCATAAAACCTATTAGATATAGAGCACAAACTAGAAAGAAAATCTATGGAGTATGTAATTTTAGAAATGTTAACTAAATATCTATAATGAAACACTATTACTTCAACTACAGATCTTCTAATAGATTCGGTCCTGACACATTACAATCATGTTGGATAATGTTCCTGAACTATTTTGAATAGAACACAAATCACAGGATCAGACGAATTGATAAATCTATATGGAAGCGATCAGGAATAAAAATCAATGCCTGAGAACTGATACGAATTTACTGTAAGGTGATATACCGCAGATAAAAAATAAACGTTAGTTTCAACGATCAACATGGTGAATCAGTTCTAATAAACACTATAACTGTGTAAGTTTCAGTATATGAACTGTAATAACAGAGTACGCGATAACTAAGACAATACCTATCTGCCTATCCAAACCCAAGCCGATGTCTAAATCTGGAACTTACTGTCGAAAGTCAAGTTCCTTAACTGTTAAGTTGTTTAGTAACTATCATATCAGTCAAAAGTATAAAAATGAAAACAATTTCAGACGACCAAGAGAAATTACACAACACAGCAGAAATACGACTACTGAACATAAATTTAGTGAATGTTCTGAAAACAAGATACACAGTCCTTGCACAAGCTATAAACATTAATACCAAAAAAAGAAAAATTCACAATCTAGGTTGACTCCATGCCACTCCTCCCTCTTATTCATTTGTCGTTAATTAGTTACAGTTAAATAATTCAGTCAAGAAGATACATATAATATAAAAATGGGAGGATTTCAAGTTTCCATCACACTGGAAACTAGAAAAAACAGACACAGAACTAGCAAGTACGAAATAGCGTGAAATATAAGAATATATATATATATATATATATATATATATATATATATATATATATATATATATAGATGCTGAGAATAACACCGGTAATTTCTAGTAAATTGTTCATTAGTTAACTATATTCCACCATTTTGTAAGCAAAACTATAGCTGACATTGACAAATTTATCACTACAAAATACGTTTAGTTTCAGTATCACCACAAACTGTAGAGCGTTAACCGAAAGGAAAAACAGTTATTATTGGGTTTTAGACATTGAAAAACAGCTAACAACTTTACAAGTTATAATTGAAAGATTAAAATGTTTTTGTAAATCTGGATAAAATTCAGAGCAATTGAGTTAAAGACGAGAAAAGTGTATATTTTTTAAAAGTTATTTACAAGGAACAGGAGAAAAAAGTTAGAGAGAGGAAGAAACATGTAGTGTATGGATAAACTCAATCTATCAACACAATGTTAGACTGCAAACGACAATAATAATAATAACAACAGGCATGGCTTACCTGATTTATTTGTACAAGTGTCTTGTGTTTTCACACCGGGAAAAGATAAAGATTTCGATATTAATGACTAAGAGACAAGTATTTCATGTGCTTTAAAGAAAAGACTATTTATTACATTACCAATGAACTGATGTATTCATTTCTATGTTTACAAGTATATATGTACATATGTACTGGTAATATATATGATTAGAGAATCAAAACAATATGAAATAAATAAGGGAATTCAGGCGCATAATTACTGTTGACTAAATCAAAGATTGTAAGCACTATGGGTTGCTTCTTGAAAAAAAACATCATCATTTACTTATCCACTGTTCATTATAATTGGTTGAAAAATTCAACTTTTTCCTATCGAAATCATTAAAAATAGTCGAAAAATCCAAATAAGGAAGTGGCAGAAAGCAAAACAGTTATCGATCGACGGTACATTCTATTAATTGAAGTTAAAAACAACATCGAGACCCTACTCCACTTAATTCAGTTTCAGTAACCAGATAGGATTATTTTAACCATATAAATAAGTATTATGAATCAAAATTGAATGAATACGTATAAATATGTGGCAAAACCGTGACGATACATAATTCATAATTCTTTTAAAAGCACATAATAATTTATAATTTAATGTAGATAGAAATTGCAATAATTCTTCAATACTAATTTATTTTCAATGTGGGGTTGTGGGTGTGTTGATTTTTTGCATTGAAATCATTAGCCAATCAATGTTAAACCACGATTAAAAAATTTGAAGCAGTAGATGGACGTCTCGTCCTAGTATGGGATTTTCCAGCAGTACACATCCACGACCCTTCAAGCGTGAATCGAACCCAGCACTTCTGATTTCACGCACAAACATGTAACCTTTAAACCCCTAAGCAGGGACCCAATAGTGTAAATGTCCAACTTTAACCAATCCACGATATTGCGCGATTATCTACCAATTTCTTCGGTGGGTTTATTTTATTTTTCTAGTTCAAATTTGTCGATCGTAAATCTTAATACTCGAACATTATGACATACAGAATATCATCGAAGAAATCTATGTATATTGAGCAGGATCAAAGTGAAACTGGTATAAAGCGGACTTGTGACATCATAAATCACTATGAGTTTGTTTTATGAATGAATAAGAAAAAAGACACCTTATGGAAGTAAAAATATTTGACTCCATTAATTTGATGAATAAAACAAGTAAAAGGATGTAAAAAGATCTCGACCCTATAAGTTGACCAAGTATATTAAGCATATAATTCTCTGAATGGTATAAATATAACCCGATCAACGAGAGTTTATTTGATCCACCATGCATCAGAAAAAATAAAACACATTTGGTTTATAATAATATTCCAACCGACATCCCTTCACAATAAACAACTACAGTTGAAAGTCATTAAACTATGTTGAGTGAACATATTTTTACATTTCACATTTTAAGATGTTCATACTTCATAATATAATATGAAAGTATTTAGAAAAAAATTATTAAGATAATCATTTGTTTATATAATAATCTTGTTTACATTATTATATTTAGCTTTCAAGGCTAATGTCCAGTGGAAAGAGTTATCAAATCCAGGACATCTATTTCCCATTACTATATATTAGAGTAAAGCCTGACGAGGATCTAATCGAAAACAATATTGAATTATTAGGTAATTCACTACGAGATAATACAAACCATTTCAAACTAAACTGAATGCATGGTTACATTTTCTCTACAACTAATCTCTTGATAAGAAATATAGATGGAAGAAGACAGGAATACCTTATCAACAATGTAATGCATACATATGCAGTAAATTACCATATCATTTATCATATGAATATAAAAATGATCTACAAATTAAAAATGGATGGAATTCACATGTAAAGTGGATTTCCATCAGTGAAAAAAGTGTTCAAGGAGTCAAGAAATTCTAGTACGGGAATTCAGCCAATTTACGGATACAACAACGTAAGTAACCATAAATATGAGGAATATTAAGTTTTACTAAGAAAATACATTCAAACAGTAAAGGGTAATACTTGAAAGGTATTGTTTAGTATAACAAGTAAACATCTAAATACGCAATAGGAGTAAATAATAGTAGATACTACCACTCACTGTGTAAGCTCATATTGTCAATTTTCAGTTTTAAATTTGTATTGATGTCATTTCGCAATAATATAGTTTTCTTACTATTATCAAGTCATTTACAGTGGACTTATTTATTACATGAATAATAAGCTTACCTAATAAAGCAAACATAGAGCTGTGGTAGAAAGAAAAAACGAAAATAAACCGGACTAACAGTTACTAATTAAAACATATATCCTTAAGTCTTTCGCACACTTACCTGATGATTACGACAATTTTCCCAAACTTTGCGTAATATTGCATAAGATCGTTCTCTGGAAGCGAATGATGTGAAGAAAAATCGTTCATGATTTTTAGAATATAAAATTTGGATTGCATTTGGTATAACACGAGCGGTTTTCTCTTTGGTAATTGCAACGATCTCATTGACGGCCAAAAATATCTAAAATTATGATGAGCAATAAATATAAATGTGAAAGCAAGAGATATTCACTTAAGGAAGCATAATCCAAAATCATAATAGTATATTTAAATATGAATAACAGATTAACTGTTTGTAAGATCCATGACGCAAACCACCGTACAAAATATTCACCGCACTAAACAGAGATTCACAAGTCAATTCTACGAAGACATTTTATTCAGGTGACGGTTATGTTTTTCACTTTTTAAGATTACTTATTAGGCTAGAGCTTGTACAAAATGAAATGAATCAATAAACGAGTCAGATGTATGATGTAAAACTGTAATCTTTGATATCCAAGAAATTTGATTACATACAGATGATTAGTTAATCAGTTTACATGCCACAATCTGATTAACAATGTACCATTACTAATATTCAACACTTAAATACAGGAACGAATTGGTTTACACTTATACATAATCATTACTCACAGTATAACAATTCAGCATGTTACATTATAGACTAGTCATTAGATATGCATAAATTAACGTAACATCCAAACGTCGACAATAACGTTTATTGAACTTCAATTTTGCATATATATTAAATATTTGTTTACTGTTCACACTCAACCCCATTACTTTTTCTCTAATGAAAGCACCATTCCGAGAACAGGTAATATTGATTGTTTTCGAATAAATCAATATTCATTTGAAAAACCAATTAAACTGACAAGATTCAATGTCATATATAAGGCGATCATACTATTACTAATAGTAATCATAAAAACCATAGAAAACCCCAATAAACCAGTAGAAAAAAAGTATGTATATAAATATATATATAAACACTGAACTGTCAAAAAAAGCCCAGTGGAGATCAGATGACCAGAAATCAATGCATATAATTGATCTCAATCAATAAATGGAGTGCATTTAGAATTGTGTTTCTTGTGAAAAACAGTAAATAATATATTAACCTAAGTAGTTCACAAGTATTACAAGTACAACAATTGTTTTCTAAATGGTGTTTTTCCACACAAAAAAGAGAATAGATAATTGTGTTAAATGGACTAAATGTGAACGACCAGCAGTTCGATGAAGTAAACAGCAACTATAAACTCAAATAACTCTACCTGTAGCTCTTCTAGGGTTACTGCCGATCTCAAGAATGGATAAAAGAAGAGGGTTGTACATGAGAGCAGCGACCTCATCCCGTAGGAAAACACCTTTTTGAAAAAATGCTGACCGGAACAAACAAATTAAACTATTTGAACTCTACCCTCCGAGTTGAAGGATCATCATTTAGAAGAGTTATGACGCCACATGGTGAAAGCCGAGATTCTTCGGAAGCAACGAGGCTGATGTCCTTTTCTAACAAATAGGGTAAAAATTAATATAGGTACATGGAATACCCGGACAATGTGAGATATGAGGATGACCAATCAAATAGTTACGGAAATGAGAAGATACAACTTGATGGTGCTCAGAATAAGTAAAACACATTGGACCCAAGCTGGACAGCAAAAGCTAGATTCGCTTAGGGTGCCGTTGTACTTTGGTCACGAAGAAAATGTTCCGCACAACAACAAGGTGGTTACTAAGATGAGACTGAAGAAGTGGAAAAACAGCAGTACCATTCAGTCTTCCTTCGAGATACTGACAAACTCAACGAATTCAAGATAGCTCTGAACAACAGGTTCCAAGCCTTACAGGATCTATTGAAGGAAGAAGAAACTACTATGAAGGACAACTAGAAGGCTATCAAAGAAGCATTAACTTCAACGTGTCAGGAGGTTCTGGACCGCAAAAGGCATCATCATAAGGAATGGATCTCTATCGAAAGGAAGAACAAAGGGACAGCAATTAACAGCAGCCGAACAAGAACAGAGCACTAGAGCTGACAAGCAGGAATACGAGGAAGACCTAGTAACAACAGCGGAAAAAGCTGCAAGAAAAGGGAATAAGAAACAACTGTATAACAACGAAGAGACTGGCAAGGAGATATAGTAAACCAGAGTGACCTGTTAAAGATAAAGAAGGCAAGACAATCACTGAGATTGAAGAACAGAGGGACAGGTGGGTAGAATACATTGAGGGACTCTTGAATAGGTCGCCACAGTGAACTCACTGGACGTCGAACCTGCACACACAAACTTTCCTAGAGATGTTACACCACCAATGATCGAAGAAATTAGGATAGCTATTAGACAAATCAAGAGTTGGAAGGCAACATAGCCAGAAAATATACCAGCTGAGACACTGAAGTAACTGCAAACTTGCTCGACGTTCTATTCAGGAATATTTGGAAGTAAAAACTACTGCCCACAGACTGGAAAAAAGATATCTCACGAAGATACGAAAGAAAGGAGATCTGAACAGATGTAAGAACTACAGAGGAATCACACTATCGTCGGTACCAAGAAAAGTTTTTAAGTGTTGCTGAACCGGATGAAAGAATCAGTAAACGCTCAGCTTCTAGATCAGTAGGTCGGATTCCGTAACGATCGGTCATGCACAGACTAATTCTAGACAATACGCATCATTGTTGAGCAATCGATTGGATGGAATTCGTCATTATACATCAACTTCCTTGATTACGAGAAAGCGCTTGACAATGTGGATAGGAGAACATTATGGGACCTTCTTCAACACTATGGTGTACCTGAGAAGATCGTCAACACTACAAGGAATTCATACGACAGACTACACTGCGAAGTCATGCATAGAGGACAGCTGACAGACAGGTTCCAAGTGAGAACCGGAGTCAGACAAGGCTGCTTACTCCCCCCATTCCGCTTTCTTCGGGTGGTTGACTAGATTATGAAAACCTCCACATCTCGGAAGAAGTACAGAATAAAATGGACAGCTTGCATGAAACCAGACGATCTGAACTTCGCAGACGAGCTGGCCCTTCTAAAACCATACACATGAACAAATCCAGATCAAGACAACCACTGTAGAGGAAGCCTCTGAAGCAGTAGACCTCGACAAACACAAGGGAAACAGTAAGATCCTGAAATACAACACAGAAAACACCAACCCAATCACACCTGATGGTGGAACTCTGAGAGACGTGAAAAATTTCACGTGCCTGGACAGCATTGTCGATGAACAAGGGGTATCTGATATCGATGTGAAAGGTAAGCACTTGCAAATTAATGGCCACATTCCTACAGTTGAACAACATATGGAATTCAAAACAACTGTCAACCGACATCCGTCACAATCTTTAATACGAACGTCAAGATAGTTAGTGCTACTATAACGGAGCTGAAACTTGGAGAACTAACACAACTATCACCAAAAAGGTACAAGTATTTATAAACAAAATTCTACGCAAGATACTCAATGTCCATTGACGGGATTCCATCAGCAACAGCCCACTGAGGGAAATAACAAACCAACTTCCAGCTGAGAAGGAAATGAAGAACACGTTGGAAGTGGATAGGACACATATTGAGGAACTCATCAAACTGAATCACGAAACATGCGCTAGCTTGGAATCTCGAAGGTAAACAGAAAAGTGGAAGGCCAAAGAACACACAGCGCCGACAAGTGGAAACATACAGGAATAGGATAAATAGCAACTGAAAAGGATTGCCCACGACAAACTTGGATGGAGAATGTTGGTGGGCGGCCTACGCTCCTCCACGAAAGTTAACAGGCGTAAGTAAGTAATTAGCTCAAATGGATTTCATTCACTTCAACCTAATTAGATTAATGTGATCAGGTAATATAATAATCCTTCAAACAATAAATAAAGCTCAAATTAAATTCAACAGCTTTATATCGTAGTCAGTGTAATGTGTCAAAGACGATGAGTAAACATATGCAGTTGGTAAATATGTCATTTACCTAAATAGATGAGTTTACAGACTCATCATTAGACGCATCATTTCTATCTAGTGACCTACAACTGATCACAATATTACCAACTGAGTGGTCTCGCTAAACTTGAATGACACATATAGTCAAATGCTTTGTAGAAAATTCTTTTTATCATGGATTATATTTGGACAAGAAAAAACGTATGCACTCTTTGACACGTTAAACAAACTTGTTCAACATTCACATCAAATTAACTCAAAGTAAATTATTAAGACTTCTATCCAGTATGAGTAGTTTGTATGATAAATAACGCTAACGGCATATATCCTTTGCAAAATATATGGCTGATATATCTTTAATTAAAAATAATCCCCACTTGTAACAATATACTTAATCCCAAACCCATTGTTTAAGACATCTCCGGACATCCTCAGAAGCTAGGCTTTTAAGAAGCTCCGTTGTTTCATATTTTTTCGGAACACAAAATATTGTACACAGACGATTTATCTAAATTTCAGTTCATCAGGAATCATTCAGACACTGTACAAACGGTAGAAAATCCAAATATTTGATGTTCTTTGAATCAAAAAGGTGTGCGAAGTCGTTATAACTTTGGATCATTCTATCAATCTCCACAATCATAGACGAAAAAGTTCAATTCACCTGAAGAGAGTTATCCTCTTCATAATGACTTTAATATTTCCTGGGTTTTTCTCAAGTTCCAATGAACATAGAAGCAGTTCAGTTTGTGTATTTATTCAACAGAGCATATATGAATTTTCTTTATAAATATTTTAATTAATCCACTCAATCAAAGATATACTACACTTGAAATGATACAATAAATTTATACTGTCTTAAACGTTTTTTTCCTAATAACATCAGTTCTGTTTTAAAGCTTTAACTGAAATAAATAAAAATTCATGCATCAGTAGTAGTACATAAATGAAAAATAAAATTACTTTCTGTTCGTATAGAATTTTTGAGTAAAAGCACACCCATGTTTCAGTAATGTACATTCGACCTTGCAGTAATAGACCATTATTATTCTTAGATAAAGCACATGAATAATCTATTGAAACAATTTTGAAAAACAATGAAAAAAAAGAAACAATAGAGTCATACACTTCAAATAAGAAAAACTATGTTATACCGTAATGAATTAAATTACAATAGCTTGCTTTGAATAAAAAGATTCAAAGAAAGAAATGTATATGAGTATGCTAAAATTATTTACACACATATATATGAGATCATACCACTTTTAACAATTTTATCTATGAATATATGTATGCTTGTAAATTTTTGTGAATAACTACTGAAAATGTAGTCAGATACAATTTAGGAAGAAAAAGATAATAATGGATAAGTAATATATGTGGTTGATGTTGTAACTGAATAGTGGCTCTTTATTATAACTGAAGTCGAAATTGCTGATATGACTAGGTGGGAAGAAGGCAAAACTGAAGACGAAAATTTTACAATGTACTAACTGTAAATCCACAAACGATCAACCACCACTCATTAACAGCTATATCGACAAGATATTCAGTTGCATATAATTCAATTACTTGAACAAAGTCAATCACGTAGAACTGAGTAGTAATTGGCATAAATCAATCAATAACCTAGTGGATATATGTAACCTAAAACATTAATAGACTTAACTGACTCAACAAACCACTAATGAGTTACATATTTGCCCTTTTTAACAGTTGTTTTTATAATTAGTTGAACAGCAGGGAAGAAACTGAAAGCTAAAAAGAACTGGATGGCTCTTCATCCTAATTTAGGACATTTCATAAGTCTACATCCATAAATTCATAGATCAATTAGTCTAATAACCTAACCATCATCCCTGAATACCAAAAGTGATATATAACTGCCTTATTTGGTACGTGGTTTTCCAATCATGGTTTGATAGTAGATTTTGAAGCCAGTAACTTTATTAATTTGGAAATTCGAACTTCTAATTTTCAGCTTAATGTTTTATAAATATACTATACTCATCGTAGAGCATAAAAGTATTCATTTTGATATCATGTGATAGATAGCGTAAGGGCATTTCCGGGAATTCTTACACAAAAACAAAACAGTTAACTTAGTGCCACCCGATTTTTAATGATTGACCAGCTAGTACCACCAGTGGATTATAAAACCAACTCTGAGCATTCTGCGACAATTCCTTATCATAGCAATACGGACTTATTGTCGACAAATCACATAAGGTCATTTATTTTTCTTTTGCTTCTCTTAATATTTTTGCTATATGGTTTCTCCATCTCTTAGTAAAATTTGAGAACTATACAGTAAATACTTCATTTGGACAATGCCCATCAATTGTCCCAGACCCTACTATCCCTTCATTTCCATACCAATCACTCTTTGATCTCTTTCCCTTCTCTCCGAACTTCTCAGCATTCTACCGCCAGGCATTCCACATTCGATTGGTGATACATATTACTTATACCTGTTGACATCAGTAGCACACATCACACTTGGAGTGATGAGCTATTTTATCTCATTCCTTACAGTTTTATTAATTCATCAATCTATCTCAAAAAGACTTTTCTGTAGTTAAAATAAGCAAGTGGAATACTGCATCACAAGATATTCTGTAACGTGCTTAAAGATTCAAGGAATCACAAAGTAATTTACAAAATTGAAATCGGCCTTTATCTTTCCAGAATCTGAATACAATAAAAGAATGTCAATATGTTTCTGTACGTGGATTACAAATGAAACATATTGAAACAGTATTACTAACTCTATAAACTTTCGCAAATAATATACTGTTTGCAGTGTTGCATAACAGTATTCAATTAATAGCTGAAACCCAATTTTCATATTACTAATTCTATCTATTGACTTTTGATCTTAGAGTAATATGATGTTTATAAGGTATCTGGTAAAAAACGTAATGATTTATTTCCAATAAAAACGTTTTTATTTAAATTCAACTATGGCTCGGTAATGCATACACATTTCTATTATAGCAGTTCTTATTAAATAAGTTCATTATCAAAAATGTTTATTGTCGTACATCAGCTTATTTCCCAATGATGTATGAAGAGTATACTTAATAAATTGGAACAACGATCAGGTGTTCCAATATAGTATCAATTAGTATCAAAACATTTTTTTCTAGAACAAAAAAATAACTCCAGTCCCAAGAGCTTGTCAAATTTGCTCTCAATTTCAGATTTCACTTCACTGTATAAAACCAAGGTTAGGCAGATTTTCAACTTTTAATTTACGTAAATCTTGGATTTCAAAACCTAACTATTTTATAAGAGAGAGAATTTTCACGCACTCAGAACAATGAATAGAAACTTGCACAATTAACTCAATCCAGTTGACGGTCAGTTCATGACTATAACTATCTTTGAAATTCCCAGAAAAGTTAGTAATTAAACTAATAAACTTTGAAAGGCATTTTCCCTATGAATAAAATTATGTTTCTCAATGGACAATGTTAAATATTATCAGTTAAGTTGAAAGGGTGAAATTATTACAAATCAATTACTTTTTCTGCTGAGCAAACATGATTATTGTAGTACACACATTTCGATTATTATCATTATTATTATCGTAATAAAAATTTTCAAAACCATATAAACCTACAAGTGACCTGGCTAGATATAAGGAGAAAGTAACAATCGTATCCATCAATATAACCCATTTACCTATTACAGATTTCATCCTTCTGGGTTAATCAGTTGTTCAAACTAGAACTGGGATGCGTTTTGAAATTATCGATTAGTGTAGGTAGCATTATCAAGTTTTAACTATCGAAGAAACGGAACATAATAATAAAAATAGTCACGTAACTTTCGATAATGCGATGAGAAGATGAAGGTTATCAGAATTATGTGATATATTTGCGCAATACATTTCGAACAAACTGATCACACATATACTTGTTGCTGGCTGTGTTTATGGGATATGTTGAAAATCTAGCTGAAGATTCAATTCAAAAGATGTCTGTATAAACGGTACGTTGATGACATCATTATCATAGGGGGTAAACGTGAAGACTTGAACCGTCTGTTAAAATAACTTAAAACAAGTCAAAAACATATTTCTCTTATATGTGAAGACAAGAACAAACAACTTTCTTTTCTAGATATACTGATTAGTAGAAGAGATGATGGTTCCATCTAACGCTCTATATACAGAAAGCCAAAATGGACAGGGAAATATCTTAATTTCCAATAGTCACCGCCCAATTCATTACAAACCTGGATTCATAAAGGGCTTATTCAATCGTATTTGTACTAGTGACACTATTGAAGTAGAGACGAAGCTCTTGACTGATACGTTAATGAATAATGGTTATTCTTTGAAGTTCATAAACGGCTGGAACGGTTGCGATACGACTAGACCTATGACGCTTCTGGCGCCCAAAAAGCGAGTTTACATTATGTTACCATTTAGAGGCGACTCAAATAGTCTCATGTTGAAACGGAGACTTAAATCAGCCATTAAACAGGATATTTTATGCAGCCCGACTTGTCATTAGTAAAAAGACGAGGTCTATGTTTCAGCAAAAGCCCAAACAGCACGTAAGCGATTGCGTCAATCAATTTACATGTATCCGCGGAAACACGTACATAAGGAGGAGCAATCGTGATCTGCAAGTAAGGGTGGGTGAACACATATTAAAATGGCTACAGAAACAAATGAATTCCAATGGTCAAATAAAATCACAGGATAGACAGACGAAATATTTATTTGCTCTGAAGAAGTAACTTACAACACGAAATCGTGAAGCGTCAGAAACTTAGTTTTCTACTCATTGGGATACTACAGTTATATCCTGTATTTTATTTTTACAAATTGATGGATGAAAGTCAAGGATTTTCAAACTAATAAACCTCATCACTGACAAAAGAGCAAAGGACATTAGCTGCGAGTTAGCATCTTTTTTTCAGTTTAACGTTCTTCTACATAGGAGAGTGAATTTACAGCATATTTTTTAATGATATTATTAAATTGTTTACAATCACTCACTCAAATTGCGGATCTTTGTGATGATAATTAGCAATTATATGTGCAAGTGTTATACCTTGAAACTGAGATTCAGTACGAGACCACGGCAATTGTTAATTACAAAAGGATTGAACATATCCTAATCTAAACGGATTCTGCGGTGAACTTGATAGAATGGCAGCTAATACGCAACAGCACTTGAAGTTGAATAAGTTACACGATTATATGAGATAGAAGACAAATATTGAAATGAAACAACTCTGTTCAAATGATAACACCTAATAAACCTTGGATAAATGATGAAATTAGTAAACTAAAGATGAAAACATACAATCATATAACAGCAAAGGTTATTGTAGAAATATGAGCTACAGGTAATCCTTTACAAAAAGAATTAAGAGTTAGTAACAAAAAACTAGATAACATGATATCTTCTTAGAAGAATGACAATGACAAAGGATATTATAACGTAACACTACCATGCTCAGCAAATTACAGTATATTAAAATAATGATCATAGGAACATTTCCTAACTCTTTGTAAAATGCCAATAAAAATAAATGAAAAACGATACAAATGTTTACAAACTGATGAATCTAATATTTGGAAAATAATGATGACTTAAATTATCTAGTAACAAACGCTGACACACCTAAATAAAAGATTCATCATAAGACTCCCAATATTATTCGCAATAAATGAAACTAACGTGACGAAAATAAAAATAAATGCTATTTGATATAAAAATAGGATTATTGATTCTTTTCTTATAAACCTTTTAATTTTAACCGCTTTATATTAATAATTTAAATAACAGTGAATATAACCGACATCATTATTTTCATAACAATATATGATAGCAGAGTTTAAAATAATTAATAATCAATAAATTAATATGCAACTCATCACCAAGCATATATTTATGTACTCATCAAGGCTGGTGATACTACTCGGGCGCTTAAACCACAGTAGGTGGAGCTGGGCTTGGATTTTCAACCTAATGGATGGAAACCGAATATCTTAGGCACTATGTCATCGCTCAACTAATATGACACAAAATAAATTCATTATTTTTAAAAGAGTATACACTGAGTTCATATAAAAAATTTCAGTTAGTCATATCAACAAATTTCAATATAATAATGAGTTACAATAACCTACCTACAAGTAGTCGTTCAGTATCAACAGGAGTATCACGAAAAATACGTCGAAATTGTTCCAATTTCGTTCGGTAGGATGGAGTTAATGACTAATTTGTATAAATATTTATCATAAGGAATAAAAAAAGGAAAGTGTCGTTAGGTACATTCTTTTCAGTAAATAAAAAAGACAAATAATTTGCAAAAAAGAATTATTACTTAACTGCTTTTTGTAATACTATATGGTAAAACTTAGACAATTTCTATATACTTCAGATAATTAATACATACTAATAAAATATTCTTTAGGTGAATGAGATCACGAAAAAAAAGATATTTGAAAATAAAGCGGAAAAATATCTATGCACAACTACAGTGATGCGCAACGGTCAGCAAATAAGTGTGTAAATTAAAGTTATTACTGGGAAACACTAGCGACAATAAAGCTCGCATCAAAGAGAGTCAAGTAACTTCATTTGGAGTTATATCGAGGAAAATCGATACGTTAATTATTATTAACTATTCACAGAATGCCACCCATTTTGAATATACTGGACTTCACAATTTGCTACCAATTGAAACATAACATACAAAACGTATTAAATAAACATTATATGGAATTAACTTTTGATGTAGATAATAATTAATCAGAAAAACTAGTTGACTATATATCCGCGAAACAATTAATTCATGGTGGGTAAAAACTAAAAGGATTGTTGTTGTTGTTAGATACACAAAACAATAAAAGATAACTGAAAAATATCTCGCAAAAAAGGTGATTATTACTGTGCTGTAAAACACCCACTATACTGACACTGAACAGATTACTCAATGCAGATAGTGAGTCGACATCATTTTGTGAATTATAGCGACTACAGGTAATCCAGACTTGAAATTTTGAACAGGTGAAAAAAGCTTATGTGAAAATATTATTCAAATTGATAAGATAGAGATAAAATGATGATAGAAATATTTCACACGAGTACTTTACCATGTAACATTTCCCGCCAAAGTATATTTAGTGTAAGGGTGAACCTAAAATAATGGAGTTGGATTTTTAGCTCGTTTTTAGTCAATCAGAAAACAACCTTTGTAGATGAATGATCTATGGTAAGAAAAACAATAATACTACAAAGTATAGACACCTTTTACGTAATTATTCAGTCTATTGAAGTCTTTGACAGGTTGCTGTGTTTGTAAATCGAAAGCTAAACTCTTTCTTATGGATTACAGAATTGTTTTCCTACATTTTCGTAAGGATCCAAATAGATTTTTAAGAATCCCTATATTGTCCTTGATTAGGATCAGGTGTAGAGGTTGAGGGTTATGATTTTCATTACGGTGTGACATCAGCTATGATGTAAAATACTCTGTAGCCAAATGAATGGGCGTATTTTGCTCAAAAACCCATGAAGCACTATCTGATTAGTCCATCTAGAAAATGTAATGCGACCAGGTTAAGTTTTGTTTGAAGATTAGGGGTTATTACTTAAGGATAGTATCGATTTGTCTGTTATATACAGTCTGTAAGTATAGAATTGAGAATTTGATACTCTTTATAGTATTCTTTTTACTTTCTGGTGACAAAAGTAATTTTTTGACATCGTTTTAAACATTTTGAACAGTTTACATAGGTATTTCTACTGCTTTTTATGGGTGCGAAAACTTAAAAGTCATATTCTCAATTTCGACTAACTTGTCCTTATAATATTCTTTTACTATAAATATGGGAAAGAAATGAATGATTCTCAAGAATTGAGAGCTAAATAATAACCAACAGAGTTCTTTAATTATTAGAGCTAATCGACATCTTCCAATCATTAGCAGTTATACTTAAGAATAATATGCTGCACTGTAGGTTAACTACACTAAGTATATGAAATACGCACATTTACCATAACAATAACAAAAAATACTCTTATTAATATGGTTAAAAGGGGGAAGAATATGAATGAAATTATTGAACGAATCTTGGTCTCTGTAGGATGATGAATTGATTTTTTTTCAAATCAACTAGTGTCAAAATAAAATGTCAGCAAGTTGAATTGCAGCTGCTGACAACGATATATATCACATACTATTCAGAAACGTGTGCAGATTTGTTTATTTCATTACAGCAGACTACTTAGCGCCGATTAGTGCACTTAGCTTGCAGTCACTTAAGATGCTACGGTTAGTGATATTACCTAAACTAAAATGGATCGAGTGGGGTTCTAACCCTGCTGCCCAGTAATTGAAAGCCGAATTTTTTTAACTGCTAAACTCCTACTGTACGCTACAGATTAAACCGATCAGTGATTCTCTAAACTTTTATAGCATTCCATACCTTTCATTTATTACAAAGATATTTATGCACATAGGATACTAGACGAGTACACACCCACAAACAAACAAGTGGATCAAGTAAACATCATAGAAGTACCAGTAACTGCAATACATACACAATAATAGACATGTGAACATGTTACATATATAGACAAGATTAGAAATAAAAATAAAATAAAACATTAAAAAGACGATAACTACCACCACTTTTCATACTGATACAGCATATTCGACTTACACACAGATATTTGGTAAAATGAAACCAACAAAATATACTAAAATATGTGAGAAAAAGTAAACGATTCTTTTTCTTCGGTCTTTTTGTGTTCGAGTAAATTACTACTCACTGATTATCAGGTCGAATTCTCAATTAGTTGTCATATTGAAATCTACGGTGAGGTAACTATATATGATAAGTATAATGATAATGACAACAATAATCATTTCCATTGGATTTTGGAACGAACAGAATTATATTGAAAAGATTTTGTTGAAAATGTTATGAAACTAAACAAGACTTAATACGTTTCTTATAAATTCGAACAGAAAGCTAGCTTTGTTTTATTTTTTATGCGTGTACATATTTGTTATAATGATCTAATACTTGAGATAATATTCAAGTTCTTTCTAAAGTCTAATTAAAATGTTATATATATATATATATATATATATATATATATATATATATATATATATATATATATATATATATATAAAGAGAACTTTATACTTGAAATGTTGAACTTTTAATGATATCCTAATGTTTCTTACATTCGAATAATTATGATAAATAAACCAGAGTTTAGTACGCTGAAAACATGAATGTAAATGAGACAAAAAAAGTAATCACAATCATTTCAGAATAATGTGATGGTTTGTTTCTAGTGCAAATATGAAATCATGACCGTGTTTTTAGTAGCAACTTAATTTGACTGAGTTCCATTGAATGGTTGTGTCGACAAAGAAACAGTCAACGCCAATCACATTTGAAAATCGTTGTCATCTCGTAAATTGATTAAAGCTGTTATACATATTATTAGGTCTAGAATCCACGAGCTAATTCGTTAAGTATTCTTTCGCTCTAGACTTGAGGACTCTTGGTTGTGTGCACCTCTGACGAGTTTCGCACCAGAACGAAACCGTTATCGAAAATGAGCATCACAAAATTTGATACATAAGATGAGTAACAAGAAAAAATATAATGCTTCTTTTATATAGTAGAATATGCAGTTAAGTAGATGAATTCCGAAATTTTATACTGTGGCACGACCCTCTGAGACCATTTTATTTAGTATAAATGACAGATCTAATGTGTGAATAACTACCAAAACGATCATCATGATACATGGGATTGAATATTCCATACATACAGGTACATAAAAACAAAGGGCAGGATTAGATAATGACAAACTAAAAGAATCACCACGAAAACAAGGAAACATACGACTACAATCGAGAAACTATTAAATTTAAAGAGAAAAAGCTAGGTCATGGGTGAAACTATGCAACGGAAATCAATATATTTATGTAAACAAATAAAAACTAGTTTTGTACAGATGAAAAATACAGGGTGTCTGAATAACTCTACAATAATTATAGTGTCGAATTGCCGAAACAAAACGAAATCATACTTCCTGGTCTGAGGGATATAAAGTTGTACACTATTTAGCATTCCAGACGGAAACAGGTAGCTGGAGTGAAATTAGAATCAACAAATTAACATTTGAAAATTATTTAAAGAGTTTTAGTTATTACCTCAGTAAAAAATAGTGTAAATGCAACACATAAAAAACAGATACAAATCACACAGGAAATTTGCCTGTTGAATTTATGGAAATGATTTAGACACAAAGGTCCAAAGGCGACGCAACACTGAAAATCCTCAGTTCATTGGTAGATGTGTATTGCATCGGAATCCCATATCAATATGAAACAGCCGTCTAGTACTTTCTGATTTCCAAAATTTCAATTGTCGTACAGCAACTGAAACTTCAATATGTGAGTCAATAGATACCGACCAATACGAACTGAACCATCGATGGAAATTGAGTTTATGCTGTGAGGACAAGCTGTACTTGGCCCTTCAATTGTTATTATTATTAATGACGTAATATGAATGAGTATAAGAGCTACCTGGAAGAACTAAGTTTGAGCGTAGAATAAGTTACTACAAGCGCAGATACCAGTGGTAGTAGCAAATATTCAGAAGAGAACCTTGAATATTAAGGTAGAGAAAGGTTTCATGAGAGCAACAGTTGACCACAGATCAAATGGTTTGTTTTAAGTGATCCGATAGATTAGAACAGAAATGAAGTGTTTAATATTGTCTATTCCCAAACTTTGTTCAGTATTGCACAATAATAATAAAAATGAATGGATATTCTGAATTTAATGATGAACACACAAACTGAATAATTCTAATCGCTAACTATACAATTCAACATAGTACTTTTAACTCAAAATCTTTTAATACTATTCATTCAAATAATTTATTAGTTGAATTTGAAATATTTGTTCATTTTTAGAAAATACCATTTATTAAAAATAATATTGTGTAGACGTGTCATTATCTCATTAGAATTTACTAAACAATAATTTATTACATCATAATCATATAAATAACATCGTATTTTTATTAATAAGAGATCATATAATAAAATACACATAAGATCCCGACTAAGCACATGAATCCGATTATTTACCAATGATTAAATTACAACATATGTATATTTAAAAAAGAAGGGAAAATGGTTGTCAATATTTTTGGTTTTATAGAGTGTTAATGAATTAATTATATATGTGTTATTTATTGTCCATAGGGATTGATCGGTGATCATAATAATAGGAACAGATTATGACCTTTACACTGTTAACAGTAATGATAACAATCAAAGGGTTTTTTATCATACTTTATACTTTGATTTAGATAATCGATCTATTAGTTTATATTTATGATCTAATCTAAAAAATGGTTAATTTAATTAAGAAATAGAAATTCTATTTGTTCACTATGCCATAAAGTTATATACATACTGAATAGGTAGAAATATATTCTTTAAAGAAAAAAATTTACACAATGATTGTGTTATAATGCTTGATTTCCTCGTCTACACGAATAAGACGCTAATTTGCCTTAGGTGAATATCTACACACGATACTCTCCAAGTGTCTATTCTATAGAACTTCAACAGAACTCAGATCTAGAATACATGACTAGCCTGATTAGAACGTAAGTATATTCCCACAGCAAAAACTGACAACAATAACAATAGTAATAAGGCTAGGGAAGTATATAACTCATCTAATATCTGTCAGACCAGTCTAACTAAGCAAACAACCAATCATTATCATCCTCGCCCATACATCAAATTATTAGATAGTATGTCAACTAAAAAAATCATAAGGTGAACGCTGATTATGCTGTCCAGAACAACATTAAAAGAATAGTATTTTGGCAATGTAGAATTATTTGAACAGTATGGTTTAATTGGGAAGCCAGGATCTGAGGTCTTCTGGGAAGCCTAAGAATTGTGAATACAACCTTACTTAAGTATACAATGAGACCGTCCCAAAACAAATAACATTAATATAAACATTGTTTTCAAGCATTTCCAACTCACTACAATGAAAAATAAACCTTCCAAATGATTAATATATTACTAACTTACGCCTGTTACACCTCGTGGAGGAGCATAGGCCACCCACCCACACTCTCCATCCAGCCCTTCCTGGGAAATCCTTTCCAGTTGTTACTCATCCTTTTTACATCTGCTTCTATTTCCTGACGTAATGTGTTCTTTGACCTTTCTCTTTTCCGCTTGCCCTCAGGATTCCAAGCTAGGGCTTGCCTCATGATACAGCTTGATGATTTCCGTAATATATGACCTATCTATTTCCATCGTCTTTTTCTCATTTTCTCTTCATCTGGAAGCTGATTTGTTTTCTCCCGTTGTTTATATTTCGATAACGCCATTATCTCACGTCATTAAGAATAGATGGATCATGGCTCGCATCGGAAATCAAGATGCGTCTTTTGACCTGTTTGGGACTTGTCAGCTGGATGTACCTGGACACCATTGCTAATATTCACACTAGGACTCGCACTCCGTACCTTTTGATTTATACACCAAACCCATAAAGCAGTGAGCTACCGAATTTAGATACCCAATAACGTTTTAAACAGGTGTAATTTCCGCATTATTATTATCAGAAAGAATTTGAGTTATCCCGTTGCTTGGGATTGGATCGGAATTCACTCCCCAATATTAACAAAGGGATACCTTAAACTATTATGATATAAACTTCATACCCATTGAATAAGGGAGTGGATTTTTGGAACCAGTAACTCTTTGAAACGAGAGACAGAGTTGGAGTCCAGGAGCTAACATCAACACAGGGATATAGGTACAACTGACTGACCAGTCTCAAATAGAATGAAACGCGTATCGTAGTTTTCTGTAATAGCCACAACCCATATATACTAGATTATGAGTAATATGAATAATAAATACGATAATTCACTATATAATATACACGTGCTTGACAAAGCATATGCATATGTATATATAAACACAAATCTTATGACTGTTACAAATAGCGTCAATAAGGATAAAATTAAATGTCATTATTCAAAAATAACATAAATCAAAACTGACACAGTTGTAATAACTTATAAACAAATACTGACTTGTTTACACATTGTAGATTATTTGAAAAATATAATTATGGATTGATGACATAAGATGTAAAACAAAACAAACTAGTGTTACATGTCGTAATATATACTCGTTAAAAAAAACTTAAATTTCATGGGATGGATTTCATCAAAGACTGAAATCAAGAATAATTGTAAAACATGCAATACAGTTGATTTTTGTGATTTCTACTATGAGCGTACATCACCCATGCAGGAGTTTGACGTAGGACTTTCAGGTCTCACACAGGAAGCACGATATGTTTAAACTAATGTATCAAAAAACAGTATTCAACAATTCCATTTACGGTCAGTTCATGAGACAGTGTAAAGACCATACTATACCATCAATGGAGAGCTTCACAATTTCTTTTGAATGCACTATTAAGTATCTCAAATTAAGACAGAAACGTTCTACAAGTGAAGTGATGGGGACTTGTAGGTCAAGTCGACAATTTTGTTGAAATTGCGTTGCTGAGAACCAATCAGAAACTGGATAGAGAAAAAACAAGTTTAACGCATACTATACTCCATTAAATATCTATACAAAACGTTAAATATTTACTATCCATGCTATCTGGAAGGAAAAATTGTTCATATGACAGATATGATAAACACTATAATTGAAAAGACGCAACTTAAGTTGAAAAGAGAGTTGCACAGCATTTCTAACTAACTACTACATCATAGTTATTCATAATGTAGTGTCCGTGTAAATAGTACACAAACTATGAGGAAAAGTATTAAAAGAGGTTTAAAAATTTATTGTTGAACTACAATATCAGACACATTCACTAATAATAATAAATCGATAAGTACGGTTTGCAAACTGTTTATCAAAGTGTAGAACGAGTACTTTATCGAGATAAGTCGATATTTACCCTTTAAAGTAGATATTAACAAACTCTAATAAATATATGGCTGATGTAATACATACATTAGCCCATTGGAATTTGATATATGAAAAGAATTACAAAGATTCAATCAATTTCATTTCCATTGTTTTACTGCATTAAATAATAGTAATAATTATTATTATCATTATCAATACTAGGACAATGTTATAAAAAAATATTACCATTACTATTAGGAATATTATGAATATTAGTTTTCATTCCTACTCATAATTGTAATTCTGAGGATAAAAGAACGAAGGAATAAGAAGAATGGGACAGAGGCGAAATAAATGAGGAAAAAAGAATATTTATCCGATTGGAGGATTAGAGAAACGATGAGTTATATGATACAAAAGTATTTTATCTAATTAATAATTAGAAAAAAGTGAAGATCTACGGATAAATACGGGATAGTTTTTTATTTGTGATCTATCAGTTTTTCTACAACTAATAGGACAAATTATCATAAGCAAAATACACAACAAATAAATATAGAATGATTGTTTAGTTTAAGTAGCAATATTACCATCATTATTAGAGGACAGAATACATTCATCAAACATATAAGACTGTCAAAAGATGAAATCGCTTACCAAAACTTTTGACGAATAAAACATTATAAATGAGGAATAAACGACTGTTTACGAAGAAAAAAATCACAAATCCATTCACTCTGCCCCTTAAAATATAAACAATATAACAATCGTCAATAATGGTAAGCCGTGACATACTCCACTTTTTTATTGGATATATGCAATTTATTATTAGAAAGTACTTATAGTGTATAGTTGATGGTCCGATTGAGGAGTCAATGATCGAGAGAAAAGTGACAAACAACAAATTAATCCAAGGTAGATAGACAGACACACACAGAAAATATAGGCATATTACATGGTTTGTGTAAATCAAAAACAATGACTGATAAAGAGAAATACTATCTGCGTAACACAATTGAACTGTTACGATCCTGGAATGGAACTCCTCGGCAGTCCAGACTTACAACCCTGGTACAGGAAATCTAACCATGGATCTTCGTTCTCGTGCATGAATACGTAATATCTAGACTGCCGGGGCAATGTTTAATGGTGTACATGTCGAAATCCAATTAGCTCACGATACTAAAAAAACTTATTCCACTCCCCGTGGTGAATAACCACCTCATATCCGACATAACGGGACCTCACTGGTCACTGCTTCTCACAGGAACTCCAGGAATTAATGCAATCCATAAGCATTCTACAGTCTCCACAAAACTCTATGCTGATAAACTATCATTCAAAATAAGTATTGAATATTGTTCCTATCTTGTTTTTAAAAATGTACAATCATGTCTATTTAATGTATATGGAAAACAAACAAACATCATTTTTTGAAAGTCCGATAAATTATATTTATTAATATGATTAAATACGATAATGGTGTACACAAACAAAAATACATTGCTTCAAAACTAGAGCAAGTTATTTTTCTTTCAAAGAAATATATATCAGAAAACTTATTAATAAACTTACATTACTAGACAGTATTCCTGGTAAGATCCTGATTAGCCTAACAACTACCATCTAACATGCGTATATATAATAGAATGCTTTCCAACCAGGTTAATGATTTTCATAGTCAATATACATCGCTCAAAAATTAATTTATTATACTAGCAATGAATTCGTTAATACACCCTAGCTCAAAATCTCTAACAATGAAGCAAATGTATTCGCTCTCTATTTTCCTCTTGATCTTGAATACCAGCATCGCTTCATCCACACCTTTCCGCTGTCTCTTTTCGAACTGTATTCCCAAAGTTTAGTTTTCTTTTATTGATCATTATTGCTGCGTCATTTTGATTATATTTCTCATTTTTATTTCGTTGTGCTCATGCGGTATGACAACTTCGCAGATTTGTGCGAAGTTCTATGTTATCTGTTTGTCACTGTGACACACCATATATAGAGAAAAACTACGGCTAGAAAATAAATAATTAGCATACGTTTTATAGAATTATTTGATTCTTCTCATGTTTTTTTTAAAATCTACAACATTAAAACTAGCAATATACAAAGGATTCAATCTCAAGATAAAAGTACGTACACACATATATAAGCACACACAAAGGAAGGTGGATAGAATTTTTTTTCTCGAAAGCCAATTACCTGATAATATGGATGTCTACGACGGAAAGATGAATTTATTTTATGCGGTGACGATGGGGAGTAGACACTTTTATTAGGAGTAGTAGGAATAGGCGTGGGTTTTGTTGTTATTGTACTATTATTGTTATTCCTACAATTGTTCAATGTCCAAAACATGTCCTCTGTCCAATTTAGATCTCCATTCAATGGAACATGTATTAAACTTCGAGGATGACGTCGTTTAAATGGACTGGAACCTTTTGATGATGTCGAACGTAATGAAGAGTGGTTTACTGGCATGGTCTAAAATATATACATTCATGTTAAACAGATGTGCATACGGACTTTTAATTCTAAAGTTGTAAACCACACAAAAGGTATCATGTGTTCATTTATCATTATCATCATTAATAAATTTATAGAAAAATCCGTATAAGAAGTTTGCTATGCTTAAACAAGTAGTGAACGGTTAATACGTTAGTAGGAGGTTAGATACAAGTGAGAGGAGCCACTCGGAATCCCAGTACTGCTCAATGTGTTCACTCAACAAGACGTATTTGCAGTCGCAAGACGAATCAGCTATATATATATATATATATATATATATTATATATATATATATATATATATATATATATATATATATATATATATATTCTATTGATGGAAGCCTATATAAAGCTATGCTAGAGATTATTACTAATAATGATACTTGAGTACACAACTCTAAATCATAAACTGGTATCAACATATATTACTTGACAGCGAAATTCTGACATACGATCTTTTTTATGATTGGTATTGACTTTAAAAGCGTAAGGAAATACAAATATCAAAATTTGAGTGTACCTAAAAAATCATTATTTTTATTGGTGATATTATAATACCAGTAACTGCCATACTCCATTTATTTTTTCCTTCAAAATGGAATGAATTTTTTTTCACATTTCATGGTGACATTATTTTTTCAATTACATCAGAAAAGTAATTGGCAAACACTACACAAGTTTCTTGCCAAAAAGAACATTCCTTCAATACTTTTAATAGTTATAGATTTTAATTTTTCCTTTGATACATTAAAATATCCATAACTCTTAAACTATTTCCATAAAATACTCCAAAATGAAATTAGAAAATAATTCCTGGTGTATGCGCGTACACAATATAAGAAGGATGACTATAACATGTACAAATATGTAGTGTCGACCTTTAAACATCATTGGGTTAATATAGGGTAGAAGGCAAACAAAATATAGATCCGACCTCTGGATGTACAACGTCCAGAAGTTTTATATTAGTCGGAACAGTTGTCCAGTGCTTCCTTGTTTTTAATGTATGTCTGGCTAAACTCAGCCCGTGATTCAAATATCAGCTGTTTGAAATTTGTTATTTTAAAAACTGTTCAGATTTGTAGGTTTCGATGAATTCCGTTTTTAACCACTTGGATTCAAACTTCTATTTAGTTTGAGTAAGCTAATAGTAGTAGTATCAAATAGCCTCCATACAATATGGCGCAAAGACTAGAACTCCAATCTATTAAGTCGTACTTGCACATGTATATTACACGAGAATTAGATGACAATCAATATCCTATACTGAACGAAATCAATGAGTAATAAAATGAAATGATCAAACTAAGCCTTAAACACTCGCACTTACAAATAAATATTTGGAGGTTGAAAGCAAAAAAGAGACAGCCAAACAAAGATGTGGTATAAGTCGATGCCTGCTAATTTGAAACGTGTAAGTAAATGTAAACTACTTGGTTGAGATTCGTGTTTTAATTTGGATCAATGGTTGAAGTGTCGTAATTTAAAATCAGTCCCGATTGACTAAATGTATCCGTCCTGTGTCTTACCCTAATTCTTGGATTTCAGCATTGTGTTATCAATTGTTTTCTGTGAATCGATTCCTTATTTTTGAAAACCACTGAATATTTCTAGAACCCTAAAATGGCAGTCTATAGTTCCAAATACTTCAAATAAGCGCCATGGTTAAGAGTTATATGATGTTCGATTAACAATGAAACGTTTACAGTTCCAGTTATATTAGAACCATCAAAGTACTGAAGTGAGTACTCAGTTGTCGGAGACAAATATCAATCATTCCGAAGAAAAACGATTTGTAATGCCATGGATAGATTTACACTATTTACCAACTAATCCAAGTATAATGTATAAAATAATTTGAAAATATATATAATTGAATAAAAACAACTTTTGCTTAACTTTCATTCCATAATTAATGAACAAGTAGACAAAAATAGAAAATTGCAGGTGGTTAGAAATAGTTGACAGGAAAGCCTGGACCTAGGTTTATGTTACTTCGCACTCATCAGCAATGTGTACCTGGAATCTTAAAAAGATTGATTCACCTTATAGGGTTTAAAGAATGAGTTGTTATAAATGTCTTACCATAATTTACAACAGAGACATAAGAAATATAAGTGAGTGAAACTATACTTTCTTCAAAAAAAGTAACCAAGATTACTGTCAGTCGTGAAAAACTAGAACTAAGAATGATATCGGCAAACGAAACGGTATAGAATAATACTTCTATATTTACATTGATAATTTTATAAGATTGAGTAGACATACAGACCAATTCTAATATATGATTACTTTTATCGTATAAATGATTCAACACTAATGGAGTATATCATTATATGACTTAGTTTATTAACACAAACCAATAAAATAATGTTGAAACAGAGCAAGAGCAACAAGGTTTCCAGAATAACATGAATTTGTTATTCTGTTTCAGTTTTTCATGAGCTGCATACAAACTAAAATAACAAATTTAACAGTTGAATTCATAAGTCGATCAAAGCTAGACTATCATCGAAAAACCTGAAGCACTGGACAACCATTTCGTTCTAGTATGGGACTCCTCAGTAATGCGCATCCACGATCCCTCATTCAGGACTCAAACCGAAGACGTTCAGTATCACGCGCGAACGCTTAACCTTTAGACCACTGGGCCAGTGTTAATATCTAACTTCAACCGATCCATGATCTTGCGTAACCCTTCATCCATTGTCTAAGATGGATAACTATCTTACACCCGACACGGATTGCACTCCACAGGTTACGTCTTGTCACTAGAAATCCATCATGAAGCTAATCACTAGTGAGCACATGATTATAATCAGAATGAGAATTTTGTGAAGATTGTAGTAATTAATTATTAACAAACCTGTCCCCTAACCTTTTTATTTCTATTTTATATTATTTTATTGTCTACTGATATCAATCTTTTACATAATCTTAACGATGTTTACATATTTGTTTATTTTATCATGTTGAGGGATTACTTAATCACTTATTAATTTCATTATATTTACGTAAACCCTTTTATTATGATTATTATTACTGGTAACTATAACATCTATTCTACCCTGCATTATTACTTCTCAACATAAATACACATAGATCTCAGATATGTTTATTCATCTACTTTGTATCTCTATGCTTATGATTACTATGATTTCGAATACGTTTCGAACATTTATATAAACTTCATAGATTAAAGTATGTTAACATATATATTTATAATGCTGATTGTAGGTAGTATGCAACTAATGAGAAACGGTGAAAATAAAATAACAAGTTTATTTTATTCTGCAAATTTTATTGTTTTTACTCTGTTTTCAATTTATCAGTAGATTTGGTTGTATAAAATAAAATGATAATTGAGAAATATTTATCTTATGGGATATATTGTTTATACTATAATATAATTGTCACTCACACTAACCTGGATAAGGACTAAATCATTTCGTAGTTCATCATATATGTAGGAGTGTGAAATAAAAAAGTGGTAATACTCGAGATTAGAAATATTATATACACTATGATTATATTTGATGTGAAAACACACACATATATAGATACATATGTATGTGTGCATATATATATAAACGTATGATAATTTTGCATTGATCAATTCAGATATAAAAATGACATATCATTTGTACTTACTCACTCACTCACACACACATAGATATATGCACATAATACGTATACACTCAATACAGTTGTGCATTTTATCATGAATAAAAATAATTAAACCGTAAGTAAACCTTAGAAATTAATTAACTATTCGATGAGATTAATAATTTATGTCAGATTACTTAGTTATACAAACGTGATTATTAACATTAGTTTTGGTAGTTTGAATCAAATTACACTAGTCGATATTACAGAAATTATTATTATTTGTAAACCAACTATATTAATTGTATCCAACATAGATACACGTATGTGTACACATAAAACAATCATACCTATACAATATGAGTGCATAAGCCAGATATCGTATAGGAGTAATGTAAAGTAGACATATTAATTCTGATGACCAATAAAATAAGAAAGTGCATGTAAATGAATAAAAAAAAGATAATAAACCAATAATGATATGATAAACAGAACTAAGAACTGATTGGTCGTTTTATGACCATTTTAATGCTACATTTATCATTTATCACATAATAATGATCGGATATTTTATGGATAAATGCTAATTTGATCTAGAGATATTCGACTTAAACGGATACTAATTGTGCTTCTTGAAATTCGCTCAACTGGGTTTATGTATCCTCCTTCATGACCAAATTATTAGTTAATTCATCTGAATCGTTTCAGTATTTTACCTATCGACTGAACATTCATAAAAAATTCATTACAAAACATAAGTTATGAGTTAGAAAACATGTGTTCACAAGGGAATAATTACAAACAGTCAGTCAGTCAGTAACAACGTAGAATTTTGTACGTACGTACATCAGTTCGAGTTGCCACACCATATTAGCACAGAGATGCAGTGGTCGATTCAAATCCCGTAGTAGTAGAGGTAGTAAGAGTATAAGCAGTAATCGGGAAGATTAGGGTTTGGAGGTGTTACTTAAAGAGTATAATACAGTGAAATAAATTTGTGAGGAGAAAGAA